CCTCCCCCCGCCAGTGATTTTTAATGAGTGTTATTGAAAACCCTGAAACGTTTAACATTACTGTTTAGACACTATAATAGGTCCAAACATACACTGATACTGCACCTAGTTCTCGTGTCACTGTGCTTGTAACGTTACTACTTATATAACTGAAGACATAAATTAACCGTATATTCCTATATCGTTTTCAGACATTATAGAAGGAAATGTGTGAAAAAAGCAACAGGAGTTAGCATTTAAAAAACTTAGTTTCAGGGTGTCTTGATTTAGGAATTGAGCTATTGGGACCAAGATATTGAACATTATATAGGCCTACAGTTAGTACACATTATATAGGCCTACAGTTAGTACACACTATATACATTAAGTGATATTAGAACGCTAAATTACCGTGGCCGCACATAGTGACAAACGAGTTGTATAAATGTTAAAATACGATATGTCTAAAAGTAGAAAATAGTCTGAAATGTTGACTGATGGTCACGGGTCGCGTAGAGTGATGAGCCCTTCTCTAAACATCGGACTGCCGTACGTTTTGACGCCTATGTGTTTTTCGCGACAGCAGCAACAGAGTAAGTTCTCCTGCTGAACTCGTCCTACGTGAACACACTAACGACGCCTACTCTACTGACTGACGAAATTCGCCCTGACAAACAAAAAGCAGCAATGAACAGGTTTTTTTTCTTCAGAAATAACTTACTCTCTCGGATCGGACGCGATTAATTCACTCTCCTGCATGCGATATCGCACGCGCCTGCGTGTCCTTTTCATGACCACAACGTGCATTTTCTGAGCTGCGTACCTCCTCATCATGATTTGTCGTAATGTTTACCATATCTGGTGTTTTTAAACGTGTAGCCAGCATGTATATATATATATTTCTATGTACAATCCTTGTATCTTGTCAAAATAATCTGGTCACACCATGGGACGGTATACTATGGCATAAAATGTCGGTGTTCTCTCGATTGTTATCACAACATATCGAAGTGTAAACATAACATATCAAAATCAATAAAACTAAGGCAATATTTGATAAAGAAAAAAGAAATTATTTACACAGAGACTTTGGAATAAAGGTAGCAGGATGGTATGACCAGGTGCTCCGGAAGAGTTGGCGTATTCTGCATCATTGATGACACCACCGTGTACATCTAAATTAAATGCAATAAAAGTCACGTTCTGAACGGGAGAACCGGAGTAGAGAAAGCGAAACAACAAGGTATGGTTTGTTTTGTTTAATTTCCTATTAACAGCTATGGTCATTTAAGGACGAGTCAGGTTTTGGTGGCGGAGGAAAACCGGAGCACCCGGAGAAAATCCATCGACCAGCGACCAAAATCCGAAGACTGCCCACGCAGGACTGGAAACCGTGACCCAGTGGTTGAGGGTTAGTAATCATAGATGATCTGACATCTAAACCACTCTATCACCACGGCCCATTAAACCACATGGTGCAGTACCTGGGTGGTTATTGAAGAATTAGTGAATATATCTTATATGATTATTGATTCACAGCGTAGGAAAACGTATGCACTTTACAAAGTTTTCGCTCGTCCACGTAAAATTCACGTACAGGCACAGCAGTACAAACATGTATATAGTACATGTACGTACATATAACAACGCTAACAGCAAGTTCCGGCTCAATTAGATTCCATATTGAATTACAGTCTCTAATTCGAAAGCGTGGGTGTACCTAGCTATTCACCATACTTTGTACACGCTCCGCGGGTGTGATGGTGTCGACACGTTCAAATTAACTCCTACACTGACCCCTCCCCCCGGGCCTCTTAATTATATATACAGATTATAGGCTTGTGTTCAATGCACTGCCATTCCTTACGAAACAGCGGGCAGAACGGTACATTCTTTTATTTCAAAAGTGTGAGATTTCTGTTTAAGAATCCAAACTTAGAAAAACACTTAGGCAATTGATCAGAAGATACATTATCTACAGATTTATACAATAGTCACACAGTATTTGTGTTCTATTGCGCCGAGGTTTAAAATCTATAAATACATAGCAGCCATTCAGCGCTGCCAGAGCGAGGCGGTTCGATTATAGCTCGATGGAGCGTATCTAACGAAAAATAGATTGTACTGTTAAAAATGGTGTCACCTATTTAACGTGTCGACCTTTCATATTTTTAAATCTTGGATTCATCGATAACTTGACAATCTTTTATAAGCTTCATGTTTGTGTTGTAATGATAAAAGATCAAAGAGTTTTAACTAGGCCGTAAACAAATCTTGTGGCCCTATTTTACGAGGGTTGTAAAGAGGCTATCTACCCATGTGCTCAAACAGTAAACCTTCAATCGATCCGAGAGTTCAATTTATTAGCCATATTAAGGCCAACTCCGTCAAAGCACAAAACTAAATCCAGTGTATTGCAACTTCGTCAAAGCACGGAACTAAATCCAGCATCTCGGCCAACTCCGTCAAAGCACGGAACTAAAACCAGCATCTCGGCCAATTCCGTCAAAGCACGGAACTAAATCCAGCATCTCGGCCAACTCCGTCAAAGCACAATACTAAATCCCACAAAACTAAATCCAATAACTTGGTCAACTCCGTCAAAGCACAAAACTAAATCCAATATCTTGGTCAACTCCGTCAAAGCACAAAACTAAATCCAATAACTTGGTCAACTCCGTCAAAACACGGAACTAAATCCAATAACTTGGTCAACTCCGTCAAAACACGGAACTAAATCCAATAACTTGGTCAACTCCGTCAAAGCACGGAACTAAATCCATCATCTTGGCCAACTCCGTCAAAACACGGAACTAAATCCAATAACTTGGTCAACTCCGCCAAAGCACAAAACTAAATCCATCATCTTGGCCAACTTCGTCAAATCACTGATTAAATCCAACTTGTCGGCCAACTCGAATCTAAACCACTTGTCCAACTTCATTAAATGACAGTTTGATTGGTCATTCTATTCTCGTGTCTGACAGAGTTGGCCGAGATGCTTCCATTGAGTAAACTAAGTTATCCGGATCTGAATTTCGATATTAAATTCTGGAATAACAAATATCCCGGATACCGAGTAGGAATTGATCTTGGAGAGAGAGAGTGCGCAGGTTTTCTTGGTATATACTGGCGATTTGAACAGTTTGGTTTTAAACCCGGGAGCCCAGTATATATCATGCTACACGTCATCAATTATGGCCCTTTCTGGAGGAGATTTTATTTTTTGTGCTATCGAGGAGGTAATATAGTGTCCGAATTATCAGGTATCATGTACCTCCCCAGAAAACACGACAAGAGAGATTTTTTCCGAGGAAAAGGACTATAATAGATTTTGTAGAATCAATGATTGTAGAAACTCCAAACCTTGTCAGCGAACTCTTTGAAAATATACGTCTATCCTTTTTTCGACATTGATGAAACTTTACAAGTCGACGAAATCCACCCTCATGTGAAAAAATATTGTAGGACGTCTATCACCTGATTAACAATTTTCAAACTATGACTTTTCAACTTTTCTACTCACATACACTTAAACAATATTTATATTAGAAACGAAATTACACGTTTAGGAATTCAAAACAATCGCCTGAATATAAAATGAACACGAAGAGTATTCGTGTTCTCAAAAATGCATTTTGAAAAGTTTAACTGATATTAACGATTCGTTAAACTGAGCTGGAAGTAACATCCGGGCCCTGAAGGCTGTAACTATTACAGTACAGTACTGCCTACAATGATACAGCAGGTGCAGTACCACCCAGTAACGCTACTTAAAATAACAGACTTTCAAATGATAGAGAACCAGTCTAGAACGATACAAATAAATATGTAGAAATAAAACAAATGTCTCTAAAGTCATCATCATAAATAGAACGCTATATTATAGAATACTACTGCATATATCTACTTCCTGTACAGTGCTGTCCAGACACTGTCCAAGAAAAGCATCACTTGTATCCAGACCAGCCTTGCTATGCACATCAACGTATCCGTGTACACACCTATCTATGGAGATCTTGCAATGGCAAAAGGCAATGTCTTTCTTCATCCCCAATTCATTCAAGACATCTCAAATAACAAAATGTTTGTTAAACGAGTAATGTTCAGACAAGAATAAAATAACGTGCGTTGACAAAGAAACCCTTTTTTACTCATTCTTTCCATATTCTGTCTTGAAGAAAATTAGATTTAATTTACACAAACAAAAGCAATGTCTTTCTGGATCCCTGATTCTGTCCAAGATATCTCAAATAATCAAAGTGTTGCTAAAAAGTAAAACTCAGACCAGAATTAAATGTCTGGCATTGTCAAGTGTTGCTAAAGAGTCATACTCAGACCAGAATTAAATGTCTGGGATTGCCAAGTGTTGCTAAAGAGTCATACTCAGACCAGAATTAAATGTCTGGTATTGTCAAGTGTTGCTAAAGAGTCATACTCAGACCAGAATTAAATGTCTGGTATTGTCAAGTGTTGCTAAAGAGTCATACTCAGACCAGAATTAAATGTCTGGTATTGTCAAGTGTTGCTAAAGAGTCATACTCAGACCAGAATTAAATGTCTGGTATTGTCAAGTGTTGCTAAAGAG